CAGCTTTACCGTGTCACTGGCTTGCCCACTGGACAGATAATCAGATAATTTTGTTGCCCTGTGAGCAGGCTGGAGGCGGTGGAGAGATGGCATCATACAAGTCACCATCATCTCACTGCTGATTACCTGTCCAATGAGCAGCAAGCAATATATTGTATCACACTATTGCAGTTTATAGATGTTGCCGTCCGTCCGTTTTTTTACTACGGGCGGACGGCAAGAGGTTAATATAAATTTGTAGAACACATCTGTAATTCCCACTGAAAATAGGCATTGCATGGAAGAGTTTCTGGAATACTAGAGCAGCCTCTCAATCAGGGTTCCAGGAAATGCCAGAGCATTGGGCTCCACTCCAGGGCGCGCTCCAGAGAATCCCCTCCAGGGCGCGCTCCAGGGGCTCCACTCCAGGGCGCGCTCCAGAGAATCCCCTCCAGGGCGCGCTCCAGAGAATCCCCTCCAGGGCGCCCTCCAGAGAGTCCCCTCCAGGGCGCGCTCCAGAGAATCCCCTCCAGGGCGTGCTCCAGAGAGTCCCCTCCATGGCACGCTCCAGAGAGTCCTGGCAATGAGCCTCCGTACACTGACCAGCAATGCCGGGGCACACTTTTACATTGACCACTCTAAGGGCACAATCCAATTTTTACGGTCTGCATTTCTTTTCCATTATTATTAACTAAAAAAATTATAAACAAAGAAACAGAACGGCATAAAAAATGATCTACTCAGGGTGTCAAACATGCTCGGCATGCCTATTTATTCTTAGATCGAAAACATTCTACTATTGAGTGATCACTCTAATCTACCCCAACCTGTAGGAGTAATTATTTCTAGCAGGGGTTCCCCGAGAACATGGAAAATATTTCAAGGGTTCCTCCGGAGTACAAAGGTTGAGGAAAGCTGTACTAAAGCAACCAGCCAACACATCAGAACCATCAGCCAACATCCCTGTTATATACAATGACCTGTTGGTGGTAAACTGCCCTTGAACTGTAGGATTGTTTCTGTGGCTGAAAACCACAGGAGAGAGAAGAGAGAGAGAAGAGAGAGAGATGAGAGAGAGAGAGATGAGAGATAAGAGAGAGTGATAAGAGAGAGAGAGGGAGAGAAGAGAGAGAGAGAGAAGAGAGAGAGATAAGAGAGAGAGATAAGAGAGAGAGATAAGAGAGAGAGATAAGAGAGAGAGATAAGAGAGAGAGA